ATATTAAAAATTGCTGAAATTTTCAACATTTTTCATTTAAATTTCTTAATAAAATGTTTAAAAACATTTCAAACTGCCTGAAAGAAACAGATTTCTTCAGCATTTATGAAATAAATGATGAGGTTTAAAAAGACTCAGGAGGATCCTGCTCCACAGACTGAACCCAGAGCAGAACCGGTCCTCAGAACCAGCAGCTGGGTGTTGGGATATGAACCCGATCGGTTCTGAATGTTCTCTGTGTCTCTGCTGCCTCTGCAGTCAGAACCCCGCGCTCAGAGACGAGCCGTCGTCAGAGAGGACACGTGGACCGAAGCAGTGAGTATCGCAGGAAAGCCCCGTCAAAATAAAAGTCCTGACGCAGGCAGGTCAGTGTGGAGGAGGAAACAGATAAATTACACAGAAATGTAGAAGATTTGTTCCTGATGAGGAAAGACTGCAGCTTCCTCCTGTTTTAGTTCTCCTCTTCCTCTTCACCTTCACTCTGATCCACACTTTGTCTTTTACTGTCCCCAGAATGTCTCCATAACTTTCCTACTCTTCTGTTCTGGTCTTCTCATGTCCCCTGTCTTCTTTGTCCTGTCCTCACCCTGTAGCCTTGTCCCTCAGAGGGAAGACAGTCCACCTGGTCCGCTCGTCCCCACAATAAGACGAGGCAAAAGCCTCAGCGAGTGAGTCTGCATGCTCCGTCCAATCAGACGGGTCGGGGGTCTCATTAAGGCGCCGGCTTTGTTTAGAGAATCATTTATATCCGTCTTTTGATTGAATGAAAGCAGATCAGGTAGTTTTTCTCTGTGTGATGCGTTCACTGACCCAGGTTAGCCACTGGAAACTGTAACTCTGCTGTCAGGTAAAGTTAGTTTTATCTGTGTGATGCGTTCACTGACCCATGTCAGATACAGATGCATTCACTGACCCAGGTCAGCCTCAGGAGAATGTAACTCTGCTCTCAGGTAAAGTTAGTATTATCGGTGTGATGCGTTCACTGACCCAGGTCAGCCACAGGAAACTGTAACTCTGCTGTCAGGAAAAGTTAGTTTTATCTGTGTGATGCGTTCACTGACCCAGGTCAGCCACAGGAAACTGTAACTCTGCTCTCAGGTAAAGTTAGTNTCAGCCACAGGAAACTGTAACTCTGCTCTCAGGTAAAGTTAGTTTTATCTGTGTGATGCGTTCACTGACCCAGGTCAGCCACAGGAAACTGTAACGCAGGCAGAGAAAGCGTGTCTTGGGTCTGAGTGGAACCAGAACCTCTCTGGTTTAAAGAGAAGAGAAAACTGAACAGTCTGCATGTTTTTAAATCATGACTCAGCGTTTTCCACTCAGCAGCACTGACTGTTGTGTTCTGGTTCCTCCTCTCGGTGTCAGTCTGTCTGTGCTGGCTGGAGACCCGGACCGAGACGATCCTGGTTCTGAACCCAGCTCAGAGCTCAGGTGAGCTGCAGGTGGACCTGTGGGTGGTTCAGGCTCGTTTAATTCAGGTTTTCTTTATTTCCATTAATTTATCGCCAGATTCTTCTTCATTATTCTGACGAATTAAAGTTAATTGAATTAAAGTTATTATTAGGAAGGAA